TGGGCACCAAATCCACGCCCACCACAACACTGGACACCGGCATATACTTCTGGGCCACTTGAAGCCAACCGCCCGGAGCCGCGCATAAGTCGATCAACACCTTTGAGCGCTGAAGAAACTCAAACTTGCGGTTCAATTGGATCAGTTTGAAGGCCGCGCGCGATCTGTAACCTGGAGGTCGACGAGACAAATGGTGTCAATCAGTTTAGTGATCATTAAATGAGATAATAGTGTAAAAGTGTGGACACATTACCGGTCTCTTTGGCCAAATGGTAGTACCGATCCTTTCGCTGTTTTCCGGTCTTCACTTTACGACCCATTTTGTGGTCTTTTCAATGATTTACTAATTGTTTGAATCAATAATTCAATTATGCTTTCAATGAATGCCTCAAATTGTGAGACAAATTGAATGCCAATTATTGACCGCAAAAAGAGTCAACAAAAACACATGTGCTTTAAATCACTGGTTGTTGTAATAAATGCTGTGACAAGTGATGACACCTATAGTGTTGTTACAGCGAAAATGTGGCAAAATTTAATGTACTTTAACTATTATAGGACATTTATTCTCATTTATTTAGCTTGGTCTATTTTCTTTAATTTAACGTTAAATTAATATTAATAAATATTAACATTTGTAAAATTTAAGAATATATTAAATTATTTTTGTGTTTAAAAGTTTCAATAAAAAATGCCTGCAATTAAAACATAAAACATTCTCCAAAAATATAAATATTTTAATTATTCTTGTGTATATTTTTTTTATAATAAGTAATTCATGTATAGAAACAATTGATTTTATTTAAGTTTACATTTAATTGGATAACAATATTAAATAACAAAACAATAATTATTATTTATGATTAAACATTGATATATTAGGAAATTATTAAATTTGTTGGGAAAGTTGTATAGTTTCAGTAGATTTATATGGCATTTATTATTACATAGTTTGTCTATAATTGTTTGTCTATATAGTGTAATACAGAATACACTGAATTTGACATCAATTTTAAAATTTGTTGCAATAAATACATAAATCTTAAATTAATTTCAAAGTCTTTCTTTAGTTATTTTTAATTCTATGTCATTTGTATCGCGAGAATCACCATTTGGTGGACACTTATCGCTTAGATTGTCATTCAATTGCAATTCATTGATATTAATAATCCGCGAATTCAATAGAGAACACAACGGAATCTCAAGAATCCATGAAATCACGAACGATAAAAAGTATGTGAATATTATATTACCGATGATTACATAGGCCTATAGAGTGGGACACGAATAAAAAAATGTGTTAATGGTTTTTGAATGCATAGAATTGATGGTTGAATATATGTTTTTACCATAAGAAGAGTGGAGCTGTAGAGGTGCTGTTGTTGGCTCGACAATAGCATCGACTGCACAATTGGATGCATAAGATATGCCACAAGAGTGAGACGTCCCATGAATTTGAAGAATTTGTGGCAAAAGAATTTCTCGACAATTGTCTGCTTTTCGTGCTCTGAGTTCGCGGTTATAGTGAAGAGAATCCAACAAATGGCTAACGACCAGAAGATCTTCTGAGTCGCGTCATACAGAGCCGACACAAATGGCTAGACATTCAAACAATTCACAAATCATTAGATTTTCATTTAAAATTGCAAATCATGTAAAACTTAAACATTATCTAAATAGTTAAAATTTAGTTTTCTGAATGTAATTATTATATTTCAGCTTAATACTTAATGTAAATTTTATTTATTTGATTGAGTTTTCAAGTAATTAAAAATTCATAATTACTTTGAATGTATACTGTATTTAATGCAAAAATATTTTATTTTAAACTCAAAGTAATTATAAATAATGTTCAATCAAGTAAATCAATTCAATATTATGGGAAATTTTGCAATTATTGCAAATAATTAAACAATATTCAGAATGAGAGCAAAATTTTAATTAAATTCAATTAATACTAACGTCAGGCAACTCTCCGATAACCCAGTCGTGACAGCCATATATTAGCACTAATAAGATAACTATACTAATGGGCCAACCCGTTGATGATTTAACCTATAGGTAAAATAATTTGTTAAACTAAATTTAATATAAATATAAATTTCAAACATTACGTACAGATTTAGTATAACCGTTATAATCATCACATTTACTAATCCGTCGAAGAGCTCCGGCATAGAATCCAATGGCAAACACTGATAGATGAGTCCAGGGTTTGTAAAAATAAATATGAAAATATTCATCTCTTTGTCTAAAAGTAAAATATAATTTGTATAAATTAATTGCGTTAATATTAATGTAATGATAGAAACAAACTCCGGGTCGGGTAGTGTCCAGAAGAAGTTTGGCGGCAATTCATACATATATACAATGATTGCGTTCACAAAGAATCCAATTATGGATAGAATGGGAAATAAAAGCCAAAATACTTTCGTCGACCTCTCATTCACTTTATTTAATAAAACAATTAAAGGAATAAATACTATCGATAATTGCATTTCCACACAGAATATCCACGTATTTGGCAAACACTTTAGTAAATGGAAATCAATTTAAGTAATCGTTTGAATGCAATAATTAATTGATTTACTGTTTTATCCAAAGGAAGAAAGTTTTGAATATAAAACAAGTTCCAGAGACCACTGTTTTCGCAATTCCAGGCCTTTTTCAATATGAAATCATGAGTTAATGGACCCCTCTTTAACAGATTCGGCAGAAGTATAGTTATGCTCGCAATTAACACTATTATCGGAGTCACTCTGAATCGGTTCAAATAAAATAACCATATATTAAATTAAATCACAAACATTTCTGTTTGAATAAAACCTGAGGTATTTTTTAGCGATGAATTGCATCACTTGTATTGCATTTTTGCCAAAGTTATAATACGATAACGAAAAAGCAGATATTAATAAAAGACACTCAAATTGGTTAATACTATTAGTGAACAACTGGGCCGGAAACTGCATCGCCAGTGTTTTTATTGTCTGCATTTCACCTAAAAAATAAAGTTATTAATAAATTTAATAATAATTTTGTCATATAATTCGTACGAAAGTACTGGAAGTCGACCACAACTACTGTATGGACTATAATAATCCATATCAAGACAATGGCTCGGATGCCGTATAGAGTGATCGGTTTGTGTCCATTACGAGCACTATTTGAGCCAAAGATGTCATTCCAAGAAGCGATGAGAGAAAGTGACTGAACTGTGGATGACTTGAGCAGATAGTGGTCAACGGGTAAATGGTTTTTAGACAGAGTTATTAACGTTGATATTATTATAGCAAACGAAATAAAGCTGAGAATTGAACTAAATATAGATAATAATTAAATTAATTAATTGAAATTCAATTAAATAATAATTAATGTCAAATTTTATACATTGTTGAGATTTGGTATATATTCCACACTTCGTGATCATTTGCTGTCTCACATCTCAATACTCTTGCCTTAAACTCCAGATTCTTTGCAACTGAAAACAAAATTAAATGTTAAATTTTTAAAATATTGTATTTGTTTTAATGTTATAAATTTTAATTATAATATTGATGTAAAAATATGAAACTTTACTTAAAGTGGAAACTTTTTGAATGTCTTCTCGAGTACAGGTCGAGGGGACACAAAAATCCATACGAAATGTAATGAAGTGAAAAAATAGGGCCAAATCTGCGAAATCATTGTATACCTGATAAAGTAAATTAATGTCACTAATTTGCTATAATTTTAATCTTATATCAAACCGTGTCATCCGATTCTCTGACAAGTCCTTTGATCTTAGAGCTCATGCCATAAAACGGCGGTTTCTTCGGCAGCCATGGCTTGAATTCTGCGACACAGAACTGTCCCCTAAAGAACTCTTTGTATGTTTCCCTTCCCTCGTCATCGA